GTTGGGCGCCGGGCGCCGCGGGGAGGTACCGGGGCCGCGCTCAGGCGGGGAAGGCGCTGCCAAGGACCGAGCAGCCCCGGGCGGCTGCTGCTGCTCGGCCCCCGCAATGCCCGGGGAGCTCTGGTGAGTTTGGGCCTGGCTCTGCCTCCCGGAGCCGTGTCTGCGTCCTGCCGGGGATGAAGCGCCTGGAAGCGTCGGCTCCTCGGCTGGGAGCTCAGGTGTGCAGTCCCGTCCCCTCGGGTCTAACCGTGGGGCTGCAGCGGGCCGTCCCTGGAGCTCAGAGCTGCTCTCCTGGGGCACAGCGGGCCGAGTTTGGGGGGCTGCGGGGGGCTGTGTGCTGCTCTGCGGGGCTCGGCCACGCTCCCACCTCACGTGGTGGGGGCTGCTCTTGGGAAGCCTTGCAAAGCTCGGCCCAGCTCTGTGGGAGGGCTTGGAGATACTCTGCTCGCTGGTTTTGGGGGGGTGCATGTCTCGGGGGTGGCAGCAGGAGCTGGTGCTGGAGAGGGGCCGGGGCCGGCCCCAGGGTGCGGTGAGACGGAGACCGAGGCACTTGTGCATGTCAGTGGGATTTGGCATCTGCGCACCCAGGGCAATTCCACCACCATCCTTGGATTTCTGGATTTTTTATTCCTTACCTGCTTCGTGGGAAGGCTCTGGGGGCAGCTGAACCCCCCCTGCTGGCAAAAGGGGCATCGCGTCCAGAGTCAGCCTTTTAAACCTTCACTTCCCGGTGGCAGCGTCTCCGGGATGTCGAGGTGCTCCGGGGGTGCCCCCGTCGTGCTCCCTGGGCACGGCTCCCTCAGAGCTCCGAATCGTGCTGGACTCTGAGGTCGGGTCGCGCTGTCGGGGAAGGGAAGGGCTGGGCCAGATGGCCGCGAAACCAACCCACTTCCCCAGCGGGAGATCACCCTGGGGGGCAACGCCAGGCTATCGAGGGATCTTCGCATATCAAAGTTCAGAGCTTGCCTAGTGAGTTTGCTTCTCACGGCTGCCCTGTGCCAACCCCAGCCAGTATGGGGGTCCCGAGGGGCCAGGCAGGGACCCCCCAGCCCCCTCTGCCTCGAGAAATCCTTGTTCTGGGGGCGCCGGGGTGGGAAGGTGCGATGGGGACAAACCCGTGGGGACCTTTCCCTGATGGGGACGGAGCCATGAGGACCTTCCTCTGAGGAGGATGAGCCCACGGGGACCTTCCTCCTCCATCCAGCCGGATTTCTCGGGAGCGGGCTGGCCGGGTGACGTCCCGTGCGGGAGGGCAGCCAGCCCTTTGCCTGCTGCAGGCTCCTCAGCCCCCTGGTTGTTTTCTCTTTGGTATCACCAGTGGGATGTACTGAGCAACCATGGCGTATTTAAAAAAAAAAAAAAAAGCATCAGTAAAAGAAGTCCCTCCTTCATGCAAAGAGTCACCTCTCGCTTTAGCCTTATAAAGCAAAAATAGCACCAAAATAATCGTGTCTCTGTGGAACAGAGGAGCCTTGTACAGCAATTCCTGAGAGCCGGTGTGTGTGCAGCTAAAATTCACATGAGAGAGCGTGTGATGCTCATCTGATGGTGGGAACAGTGGTGGGAGACAAAGGTGGGAAGAGAGGAGATGAAAGTTTTACTTGACCTTCGTAAAACAAGCTGTGTCCAGGCTTGAGGCTCTTTAATATTTGATGGGCCAGAGCTAATGGGAAGATGAGGGGATGGTTTCTCTTCCTGGCCGTAGCTGCGCTGACTGCTGCGGTAATCTCGGAGATTTGCGCTCAGGTCTTGTGAGGACAAGGTCTGGACTGCAGATTGTGTCGAAGGAAATTCCTTTTTTGCCCCCTTTTAAAATGGGTGCAAATGTATCTTTTGCAGCTATACTGTGGCTGTAGTAGTAGATGTCTTAGACTGTGAGGAAAACACTTCATCAAAACCACCAAAACTATCAAAAGTACCTCAAAGCAGCCGGGTGCCACGAAGAGGGGAGGCGGGCAGGCTCCCCCGTCCGTTTGATTCGTAACCGCTTATCTCCGGGGCTGCTGAGCTGGGGGTGAAACCCCCGCTGAGACCCCTCCTGCCGCCGTGCTGGGGGGGCAGTTATCTCCTCTTTGGCGCAGAAATGCGAGAGAAGAGCCGCGCGTACAGGGCCGGCGTGCGAAGGGTGCGCGGGGACTCGGAGTGAGCTTTAACATTGGTTAAAGTCAGTGCTGGGGCTGGGGGGGCGAAGTGAGGTAGGGGCTGGTCCAGGCTCGCAGCCGAGAGCTGGGTCTGTGTGTGAGGAGCCTTAATTGGGCACCCAGCTGAGGGAAAGGCTCTTTAATATGCGTGTGTGTGTGTGTGTGTGTGTGTGTGTGTGTGTGTGCGCCCCCC